TTTTTATTTAAATATCTGTTTATATTCTACCGCGCATATTTTTATTTAAATATCTGTTTATATTCTACCGCGCATATTTTTATTTAAATATCTGTTTATATTCTACCGTTGCTATCATTCCAAATTTGCTATTTAAGATTGGAATGTTTTTAAAAATTTTGTATTCAAAAAAAGGTTCTAATGACCTGAAGAAGACGAAAGTGTATATCGTTGAAAGCGCTCGTCAATTTAGTGACATAGGTGTCTAATTTAACGCTTATATGTTAAAAGTTTTTGTAAGACCTGTTGAAGTCATCTGCCTACAATATCAGACATCTTCTGCCCACTCTCTACCTTGGCTATTATCTCTTGTTTAGTTTCTATAGTGAACACAGTTCATGACACTCTGCACTTTTTAGGCCCCATAATAATATCAGTTTTTTAAATAAAAAGATCAGAACAGCACTTACAAAAATTCAGAGAACAGAAATTAACTAGTGTACAAAAGTTATGTATAGAACTGTAAAAGTCTTGTTCCATAAACCATGTATAGATGCCATTAAAATATAGTTTTACAAAACTTAAACGCATCATCACTTCTTCTTGTGTTTGTTCTGTCAGGTGTTCATTATCTGAATATAAAAATCTTTTGCAAAAGTGTTTATTGTTTCAATTTCACAGTCCAAACTGTTTGTTAACCAATCACACACTGTATTAAAATTTGAAAATTTTATGATTCCTATAGAGATTATATATTGTCATTCTTACATTGTAATAAAATTTTAAGTAATCTAAAACTAAGGTATTCAGAATTATAACAAAAAAATTAAATATTTATATTTTTAATTTCATATGCTTGAAAGTTGTGTGAAATTAAATAATAATAAATAATTAAAAGAATATGTCACACATTTTAAATCAAACAAATTCATATTTTGAATATCCAATATATCAATGAATACAAATTTGAAGTAAAATAAATATATTTATAATTTGTCTTGTATTTTTCCTTGATTCATTCCTGTAACTGCTACTCAAAAAAATTTTAATCTAATTATTAGTATTTAAGTAATCTATATTTTCCTACTAATTATTTAACATACTTTTCATTCATTCATTAATTCTATGCACAACATAATTATGTATAGATTCATTTTATCATACATGAAAATTTTATAATAATATTCATAATAATTCAATTAAATTAATAATAATGAACAGTAAAATTATTCTTTAAATTGAATTTGCATATTTATAATTAATTATTTAATTATATAAAAGTGTCAAACTAAAACAATGTTGTGTGTAACTTTTCTTCTTGAAATAAAAAAAATCAACAGCAAGAAATTGCTTATTATAATAATAGTCCTACAATGAAATAGTAATTTTTTAACATTATTTCTAATTTATAAAATTAACTGTGATCTTATTTTTACAATATACAAATATTCAAATATATTTTTAAAAATGGATAAGATTGCTTCTATGGTTATTTTTAAAAATTCCATTTTTATACTATTGTTTTTTCTTCAATGAATTATCTTTACTAATGGTGCAATCTTGTCTTTAAGTATTTAACCCACCAACACATTCCATATCATCTAAAATGTTGGCACTACATACAATTCTGCTTTCTGAAGTCACACATCAAAAATTCTGACTAGGCACTTTCAGATGTTTCTCATTCATCATCAGAAAAATTTAAATTCAAAAGCATGCACATGTTCTTGTTCTAAAACAACACTTTCTTTCCACATTCCAAACTCATTTAAATTGCATTCTCCTTGTAGCAAATCAACTATTTCTATATTCTAGTTTACTCTTCCTTAGTAGTCACTTCCATATTATCAAAAAGGTAACAATGTCCTTAATGTTTATGACCTCTTTTCTCAGGCTTTCCAGAAACTTTTAACTTCTCAGCTATCAAAATGTATTCATCAACTCTAACATTTAATATTACCCTTGCCAAAAGTGAGTCAAAAACACACTGCCCAACATTGCAGCAAATCATAGGGTGGTTTGTTAATATAAGGATAATAAAAAATATAGAAGTAATATGTTCACCATAATTAGTGTCAAATATGTTTTCCAAGAAAGACTAAAATTGTTACTTCCTTATAAAAATGCTTTTCAAATAAAGTTGTTAGTAGCTGATATTACTATAATCTAATAAAAATAAAAACTGTTATCAAATTCAATTCAATCTTCATGCTAACTAGACTTTCCTTACTCTTACATACTATTAAATCTAAGAAATTATTGTTATTAATGAATAGAATTAATAAAAACTTTTAATAATACTTAACCTTGTAAGTTGGTATTGTCGGCATGATGATGATGATGAGAGTGGGAGTGACCATGACCGTGACTATGTCCATGCCCATGACTAGATGAGGGAGAATGACCATGGCTGTGTGTATGTGCATGTCGAAAAGCAAATATTCCAACTAAATTAACACAAAGACCAGCAACAGAAACAGTCTGTAATTAAAAGAAAAACAAAGGATATAAAAAATGGTATTTGTAACTAAAATTCTATATTAAAATAAAATCAAATTAAAAATGTGTTGTTGATGCTACTGTTCCATTCTATTCAGATTCTGAAAATGGGACCAGTTGCTCTGATTAATGTTTAAATAACATTAAAAAGCTGGTCCTTAATACTGTCTAGCATATTTATTTCTTTGATTTCATGCAGAGTTGTATTATTTAGGTAAGTGTTTGAATCTAAAATTCCATGTTGATCATAAATATTAGCATAATATATTCAATAAATTTTATAAAACAAATGCTCTTAAAGGTATTTTAAACAAAGATTTAATAAATTTCTTAGATATATATAATTCATGATTTTATCTGAAATTCTGTTTTAAAATAATTATAATGATAATGATTATTTGGCTATAGTGGTTAAAGCATACTATTCTGGAGAATCAAGAATCAAATATACGCAGTAAAAAACACCCAAGGAATTTTTTATGGATGATGTCAGGTCCTATCTCTCACCACCCAGCTGTCCCCCATTGCACAGTGATTCAAATGTCAAAAAATTATGCCAAAACTTGATTTTTTGATCTAAGCATATTAGTATTTTGGTTTCACTGATTTATAAATAAGACATTGGAGTATTTGTTTTCAATTACACTCAGTACATAACGTTTAAAGTTTCGTTCAAATATATTGTATTATTTGTACAACAAATCAACTGCAAAGCAACTGAAATCAAGATTTCAAACCTATATTTTTACAATAATGACATCTAGAATTTCTTGAAACACTTAGGTTTCTAATTTTAACACACTTAAAAGTCTTCTCTCTGATATACATTGTAACAAGTAAAACTGAAATAAGTTAATAATGCAGAAAATTTTACAACATTTAATTGCATGCAATTTATATTTATTATTAACTTATAAAAATTGTATCTGAATGCAATTGTGATTTTTTTGGGTAAAGATAATGTAAAGTATGAAAATGATTAGCAAGTAACTTTTGCAGAACCATGCAGTAGTGGCTGTATGAGATATTTTTATGAAACTCTGTATCAGTACATTTGAATTATTTTGTGACAATGATGATGATAACGATTACAAGAGCAGAGGCAATAAATGTAACTCATAGGTGTGTTATCATCTTCAAAAGACTTATGTACTTTTACATTTATAAAATTAATATAATCAAACTATTTTTACAAGCTTTAATTTTTATACTATTAGTAATATTAAAAGATATATATACAATTATATACTATGCAATTGGTTACAAAAGCCATATCCAAAAAACATTCAACTTTTTGATGTATAATATATTTAAAATGGATAAAAATAATAATTTATTACATGAATTACATGTTTATTATAAAAATACTCATTGTAGGAATTTTTCCAGTCTTTTGCACTTTTGAATCATCACTCATTGTTGACCTAGCCAAAATAGGGCCAACTTAAAATGTAAAAAAGAAAAATCCCTCTTAATGTCCACAGAGTGGAAAGAGTTTTAAAAATATTATAAAACATTATATAATGAATAATTCATTATATAAATTAAAATGCTTTATTTATTTTATATATATTTGTATGAAACTTTCAAAACTTTTTAACTTCATGACATATAAAACAAAGTGTGGATAAAGCATTAGAAAATAGTAGAATAAGAAAAATAAAGCAAAGGTTACTATTCTCTTATCTAACTCTTATACAGTAGGATGTAGGAAGAGACAAGAGAGAGTAAAATATCTTAAATTTAAATAACAGAATCAGCTGTCAAATTTATTATTAATTGACAAAATACAGAAATGTAAGAGTTAAATATGCTTATGGGAATATATATAAATATTTTATCTAATATTAGAGTACTTTGTTTTAATTAATTAAATATATTACATGTATGACATAATTCAAAGGTTTATGAATTTTTCAACTTGCAGATCACTTTGAATTCTAATCATTTACTGCAATAATTTTCATAATACATGAAAGAGAATACAGAGAATATTAAAGAGATAAAGGAGAATGATATTACATCATTATTACTTAATTTGGTTGATTTACAGAATATTACGAAAGTTTTCACATTCTCTTTACACTTATCTAAACTTAAATGTTTACCAATATCATGCTTTGAGTATTATTTAATCAAAATTAAAACTCCTTTTCTTCCAGTTGTGAACAATATTTATTCAGAAAAATAGCTCTTAACACAATTAAATCTTAAAATACAAAGCATTATTATTATTTTTTTTAATTTTATATTTTCATTATTTCTATAAAAATTGAATTTATATTTTATAAAGTTTAAGTGAATTTATTCAAGAATTATAAATCTACAGTGGCATGTGGTCCTTGGAAGCGGTGAAAGTGCCGCTTTCCTTGTATTTTCTAAAATATAAATACATATTGCGTGATTATTTTCATACTTTAACGTACTTTGAATTAAAATTAATATTTTATTATAGCTGCATTGTGTATCTTATTACAAATTTCTATACTACATGTGAAAAAATGATAAGATTGCTATTGTATATTCAAATATCAGTGGCAGAACGGAAGCGCTGTATTGTCGAAACTGGGCCAGCTTCCAAATAGCCAGATTATACGCATTTGTGCATGCGCTTTACGAAGCACCAACATCAACTGGTTTAGCTGGTGGAAGCTACACACCAAAATATCATATAACGCTTCCAATGATTCTATCCAGGACTGGTTCTGGGCTGTTAGCCACCTGCCTGCTAGATATTTGGCTGCCCTTGCCCTATTATGTGAATCATGAATAGATTTATAACTTAACCCAACCGATAAGAATTTACTCGTATGTTTTTATGACAGTTCTGTATAGTTGACAGGAGTTTAAAAAAATCCATTAAAATATTTGATATATTTATACTTCTTTTATTCTGCTCTTCCATGTTATATTACTTATGGATTTCAATGTTAAACCAGTGATATTATGATTTTGTATGTCCCATCTATAAGGGGATGTAGAAAAAAACATGTACAATTCTTGTACAATGTTAAAAAATTAATCGTTATTTTGGCAACATCATTTACAACTAAATTTAATGAATGATATGCACAAGGTACAATAAAAGCTCTAGAATTTATTTTCCTTAAATTTACGATTTATGTATCCATTGTCATAAAAATTTGTCTTTCCAATTGTTTCCCAAGACTACAAATATTCAAGTACAAAGTAACCAGTTTCAACTTATTTCTACTTAAGTAGTAGTTAAATAATTAAGAGATTAAGGAATTAGGGATATAAATAAAACCCTGCTGAAAGAGCTGGAATTTTACTTAAACAAAAGCTTAACCGAACCAATCTAGCCAAGTACCGCGGGGACTGATTTCTTTGTAATATTAGATGTAATAAAGATAGAAATTTTTCCAGTTCAATGAGAATGACTGAAAAGTTGTAAATTTTGGAAATTTCCATGGACACCTGGTCCTAAAACTAATTAGTTAGAAAACAAAGGACTATCAAGTTTAACATATTTAGATTTTTACAGCTATGGTAAGAAACGTTTAAAATTTATACATCCTTTGAGATACTGTATACTAGTGATGCGACAAAAGAGGCACTTGACATTAACCAGTATCGGCACCCTCGGAATTTGGCACGCATGCATGCACTGCACACCTACCTAGATCGTCTCTGATTCCATCCATGAGCCACTTGTAGGGAGCAATTTTAACTAAGTGGGTTGTTTTAATATTTAAAAAGTGAAAAATATTTTGTTATTTTTATATACATTTTTTCACATAACTATATTTAATTATAATTTTCTTTAAAAGTATATTCATACAATTGAATATTTTGTACCAGGTATGTATAATTGTATATCCATCACACTTTTTATTTTACCAAGTAAGTTTTAATAATTTTATTTTTAATTTTAGCCCTTATATCATGGCTAATGATTTAGAATGTAATTGTGATAATATTGAAAATTTATTTTAAAAAACTTTTGGCTCAAGACCATATAATGCAAAAGAAAACATTATTAAAAGAGAAAGATCAATGCCTAAATTAAATATAAATACATCAACAAAAAAAATTTGTTCGACATTTTCACGATAAAATTTATGAAGGCATAAAATGGCTTTGTAGATGCATAGAAATGCAAAAATTGTTTTGTTGGCCTTGCCTACTGTTTTCAAATAAAATTAGTGTGTGAAATAAGAATGGCTTTGAAGATTTAAATAATTTGAGTAAAGCTAGCTAAAGACATGAAACTTGTAAATGTCATGCCAATTCTTTCATAAAATTAAAGCAATTTGGAAATCAAGGCAGAATAGAATTTAACATTAGTAAACAATATAAAATAAATATTCAAAATTATAACAAGATAATTACGACTAATAGATATATTATATCTAAATTAATAGATGTTATATGTTTTTTCTCAAAGCGAGAATTGGCATTTAGAGGGCATAGGGAATCTATTGAATCTAATAACAGAGGTAATTATATAGAACTTGTTTATTTAATGTCAGATAATTCAGATAATCTATTAAAAATACATTTAAAGAAGTGTATGGTTTTTAATGGCTTATCAAACAAACGAATACAAATGGGTCCTGACACGCAATTAACTGATTGCCCCTGTGAGTCGGCTTCTTAGAGAAACACAGCTTCCCTATCATCAAATGTCACGGCATGCCACTGTAAATCTATAATATTTTATTAGTGATTTTTACAGCATTTAAACCAGTATTCACACATTTATACAAACTATAATAATTTATAGATAAATTTCAATTCTGTATGTAGAATATAATTTTTTACGTTATGAAATAAAGATATCAAGAGTAGAGCAACGATGCATTTTTCAACAATTTTGTTCTTAAGACTATTATAAATATCATAGCTTTTCTTTTTTTAATAGCATTATTGAATGATGCCATTACAAAAAAAGGACATGAAAGAAACCAAAGTTTCTTTTATACTTTTCTGTTATTAAACTTTAAATCAATTTATATAAA